AGCCCCAGTGCAGTGGTGAACTGATCCCAGAGCAAATTAGACATGCAGAACCTTATCCTATCCATGCTGCCTTTTAAACACCTCCTCCTCAAGAAAGCTGTATCACCAAACATGTTGCTATAAACACAGAAGATTCCCATCCCAACCCTCCACAAGCAGAGCAGGAAGAAATGCAGCATTCCCCGAAGTCTACCAGCAATCAGGACCTTATTCATTTGTTAAAAGCATTTAAATACATTATATATTAAACGAAGAAAAAAAAAAAAAGAAAAAAAAGGATGCAGTGAAAATCCTCATTTAAGACATTCAGAGTATTCTGTAAAAGTAACTGAAATTGAGTAATAGTGTGGCAGTACTTTTTCAGGGAGTGAATTATCTCATGTCTCCAAATCCTCACCTGTTTGTTGAGAGGATCCCAAATCAGCAGGTCTGGTGTGCACAAAACATTCACTGAACTCAAAAGTCAGGATGGGCTACAAGTCCCATTTCAGTGTTCATGTTCTTACTGTTTCTAGTGTGACTTTTACAGAACCCATCCTAATAAAGCCCTTGTTCAGCCATTTGTCTAGCTAAATTTGTAATGTAGGAACAATCTGCTTTGGGAGCAAATTCATCCCTGAAGGAAGTGGGTATTGTAGTCAGTCAATAAGATTGCCCCTACTTACACCACAGATAAATGTGTTGCTTTGTCCCAACATTTCTGCTTTGCAATAATTTCACATTGCAAATTACAAACCTCTGAAAATTGTAGATTATAATAAATGTGCTGACACAACTTCAACTGTTATAGTAAATGGCATTGCTCTAATAATGAAATAAAAAATCCTACTTAATCCTATTCTTTCCCTAAAGTGGTGTTTTGCATTAGCTATGGATGAAAAGACAAACAAGTACATGTATATTCAATAATAATGTCAGCTGGGTCAGAGAAGAATAGGAAATAAAATGAATTCATAACACCCCTGGAGGTAGCTTTCTGATACAGGCAGTTTTCTCTTTGATTTGCCCTCATTGGCAGCATTCATTGTAATTTTAACATAGCCTCCAAATTGGCCTTTATTAATAGCTGTCCTGATCTTAATAACAAATACACTCTTAATCTCCAGTCTGGGTGCTTCTGAGGTGAACAATTACATAGAGCAGAATAGATCATATGGGTATTTAGAGGCACCTCTCACTCAAGAGTGCCTAATTTCACCTTCAGACCATCCAGACAGTGTTTTCAAGAGCTGTAGATACAGAGCTCTTCTGTCTCAAGGCTTTGAAGCTAAAATACCTTTCTAGATATGATAGTGAAATAGTCACCTTGAATTAAGGTTGCTGGCAATCTTAAAAAGTCCTTATTGAGCTTTGAGTGCAATCAGATGGTACTTGCTTATAAATGAGAGTTAATGGAAACATTAAACAGTACAAGCTACTGTGACCCATGCCTTCAGAATATTAAGCACATTTTGAAATTGTGGAACACCATCTATTCTTTTGTGTTCTGTAAAATATTACTTTTTCTAACCAATATTCTCTGGGAGCAGGTTATTTGAATTGTTCAGCATTCTACATTTGCATGTACTGTGTATTTCTAATTTATTTCCTCACTTATCTGGCTACCATATATTTCTGGTTGATACTATACTCAGTTTCTCTTTAATTATTCCATCTGCCAGAAGAGTGTGATGCATTTTAGAAGCTGGTTGGTTTAGTTGTTGAAGCTTTGAGTTTTGGAACTGAATGGGATGACATATTCTTCATTTAGCAGAACGGGCTAAGAAGAATTACATACCCCAAGTGATAAGCTTGGAACTGCTAAAGAAATGCCAAAATCCAATTTTTTTCCTCTCTCTAGTTGTCTAAACATCTATTAGTCTCTTGAAGGGAACTCATAAATCCTGCAAATTTAGTTTCTCTGAAACCAACTCTAACAGTTGTCCTTCCTACTAATCATGTTTTATATCAATTTTATATTTTTCAATATTCAATAAACATGTCTTCTGCTTACTGTACTTGTTAGAAAGTATCTGCAGTATAGGCTGTATGAGGACAGTTATTAATCAGCCATTTCAGATGGCTGTAGGGTTAGTTTAGTAAGTGTATCCATTTATCTTTTTTATGTTTTCTTCTTTGTCCTTTCCATTTATCCAATATGGAATTTCTTTTGTCCTTTTTGGTTTATTTCTACCAGGGTATGTCAAAAAGGAATTTAACATGTAAAAAATGAAAAAAAAACCCCAAAACACAACAAACAAACAAACAAAAAAAAAAAACAACAAAACCCAAACTACCCAATAGCTGAAAGAAAGAAAGCATACCACCCTTTGGGTTTCATTCATGAAAAGATCTTTGCATTACATCTACTTAAATCTGCATTAAAAAATAACAATAGAATGCATTATCTAGCAGTGATTCTTTAAAGCAGTGGATAATTTACACATTAAAGTGAAATGTAGGTTTAAAAGCAGGAGTGTAGGATTGAATTAGAGTGAAGAGTCAGAATGATATAGTCCTGTATGAAAATGGTCTCGGTTTCCTGGGGGTATTGTCCTTCTGGTGTAATGAGACTTGCAGATAACAATCAGGGACTGTGGATAGATCAAGGCACAGCGATACATTGAGAATGGCACAGCAAGTAATGGCTCTGGGGAAACAAATGAATGTGTCTGCTAGATAAACAGCATTAAAAGTTTCTGTTCATTGCCAAAGTCCAGGCCTCTAGAGATTAATAATCCCTGAAAAATGGCATGTTGGGTTTGAATGGCAAGGTTTTGGTAGCAGGGGGGTGCAGGGGTGGAAGCTGGAAGCTTCCCCCATTTCCAGCAGAGCCAATGCCAACCTCCAGGATGGACCATGGACCTGCCACCAGCCAGGCTGAGCCCAGCACTGACAGTGGCAGTGCCTCAGGCATAACAGATTGTAGAAAGGGAAAAAACTGCTGTGCAACAGCAGCTGGAAGAGAGGAGCAGGAGTCTGTGAGAGGAGCAGCCCTGCAGACAGGCAGGGCAGTGCAGAAGGAGGGGCAGGAGGTGCTCAGGGTGCCGGAGCAGAGGTTCCCCTGCACCCCCTGGTGCTGCCATGGAGAGGCAGCTGTGCCCTGCAGCACAGGGGGGGCCTGGCAGCAGGGATGTGCCCAAAGGAGGCTGTGAGCCCATGGGAAGGCTGTGCTGGTGTCCTGTAGAGAGAGGAGCCCACCCCAGAGCAGGGGGATGCCCAAAGGAGGCTGTGAGCCCATGGGAAGGCTGTGCTGGTAGAGAGAAAAGCCCATGCTAGAGCAGGTTTGCTGCCAGGACTTGTGACCCCATGGGGGACCCACACTGTGCATGGAGGATGTTCCCACAGAGGGGTGCACTCTGGAACAGTTCCTGAAGAGCTGCAATCTGTAGGAAGGCCAAGTTGAAGAAGTTCATGAGGGGCTGGCTCCTGCAGGAGGGACCCCTTGCTGGAAGAAGAGGGGAAGCATGGGAGGAGTCCTCCTCCTGAGGAGGAAGAACCTGCAGAGACAATGTGCAGTGAACTGACCATCATCCCCATCTCCCTGCACCACTCTGAGGGGGGAGGCAGAGAAAATTGTCAGTGAAGTCCAGCCCAGGAAGAAGGGAAGAGTGGGAGAAAAGGTGTTTCATCATTTGGTTTTATTTCTCATTGTCCTACTCTGATTTCATTGGCAATACTTTGAATTGATTTCCCCAAATCAAGTCTGCTTTGCCCATGACAGTAATTGCTGAGTGATCTCTCCCTGTCCTTTTCTCGACCCATAAGCCTGCTTTACATTTTCTCTGTCCTGTCCAGATGAAGAGAGGAGAGATAGAGCAGCTTTGGTGGGCACCTGGCATCCAGACAAGCTCAACCCCTCACAAATACTAACTTTTAGAAGATTTTTTTTTTTAAATCCATGCTGCAGTTGTACTTTTATGGGTTCACATATTGCAGGGAGGCACTGGCCATTTATCAGGATGCTAATGACTGGTAGTTATGTGTCCAGGTACTTTGTAACCACTGGGTCGCCCGACAACAGAGGTCACTGGAAGACAGATGACTCACAAACCAGTTTAAAGATCTCCTTCACTTTTTAAGGGCACCATCAGGCTTCAAATATTCTAAAATTTTCACATTGGGATTGTTGTCCCCTATTTAAAATTCCATGTGTCAGGAGGCTTCCATGATTTACTGGTAGTTTTCAAACAAAAAAACCCCTTCCTAACAGACCTTCCATTGATTGCTAGAGTTATTTAAAGGCTAACAATAAAAAAATCATAGACTTCAAGCCCCATCAAGGCAAAAAGGAAACAATAATTGCAATTTGCAAGCCTCCTGCCATGGGTAAAGGAGCAGGGGCTGGCAGAAAGGAAGATCTGAGATTTTAATGGCTGCTGCAGCAGGTCAGGGGAGATGTGCCAGTTCATTCCTACATCATCCCATGATAAGACAATTTGCCAAGGTGAAAAGATGGGTGTGAGGATCAAAAATGGGGGTATGAACTGGCAGGTTCCCAGCTTGGAAAATGTTTGGTCTGCCTTTGGACACTAACAAGTGTGAGGTTCCATCAAACCTCAAACAAGCACCTCCTCTTCTTGCTATTGTTCACTTTGCATTCTCAGTTTGATAAGGTACTAGAAAGGAAATTGGTGGTGCCCCAAACTGAGAATGAAACATGGACAATTTTCTCCAGTTTTAGCAGTCTCAGAGCTGAATTTCTCTTCTGATTTAGAAACACTTGTAGGTGTATATGGACAAATCCCTGTGAGACAATGTGGAAATACAAGAGGACATGAAAGAGCAGCTGACTGCCAAACTTTATGATGGATGAGTCTGAAAGTCATTTGTTCTACTCTAGAATCACAAAGAAGCACTAATACGTACATATGTGGACTTTACTTACCTCTGGTCTGATTTTGCTGTTGTTGAACTGAAAGAGAGTTTTCCCTTTGACTTTGCTGAGGTGTAGATTTGGCCCATTGCACATAAAGTTAATTCATTAAATGTAATTCTTTATCGTTTCTCCTTTTTTTCAGAATGCTTGAGGATGATCTAAAACTCAGCAGTGATGAAGATGATAATGAACAGGTAAATACATCTAACATAAGTGCATAGACCATTTAAACTAACAAAGTTATTTCATTGGTTGGATCTGTTTGTGTGTTGACATACTATATTTGCATGAAAAGCATTTTGGTGCTGCAGAATCCATTAGCTTAAACCTTGTTTGCTTCCTTCTCATTAGAGGAAACAATCTCAAAGAGGAATGTGTTTCAGTTTTGCTGGTTCACTTTGTGATGTGGATTAAACTAAGCCAAAATATGACTTACTAACCTTTGAATGAGAGTCCACACAGAACATCACCCAGGAACAGCCAATGTGTTCTGAATCTCTGTCCTCCATTGTACCAAGCTAACTGTGGAACAGCCTCCCCTTGCTTTGCACCCATTTTCTGAATTGATGAGCTTTTTGGAAATGTGTGTAAGAGGACTACATAAGAGCACCAACACAACTCCAGAGTTTGTTTGCACTTTGCAGTCCATTTATACAAGCCCACACAAGAAAATTTGGTCTGTAAGTTTTTGTTCCAGTCAGAGAGTAAAGGGTTGGGAGTCCACAGTAATTCAGTGACTCCTGTTTGTGAAAGGGAAAGCCCTCAGCACGTAGCTCTAAATCAATACTGAAAGTTTCTCCACGTACTTGGGATATTAATGAAGAATCATTTTCAGAAAACTGGCTCATGTCATTCTCTATCCTTCCCACTTTATAAATATTTATGTATAATGCTAGGAAAGAAAGCTGGTGAAATTCATATTCTCAACATTCTTATCAGAAAAAAAATGAAACTTTGTGTTAAATTCATCCTTCATTTTACTTTATATATGCAATAGGCTCAAATGTTTAAATGTCTGCAATAGAGAGAAAGGTAATGCTATAATTCAGCCTAAGATCATCTGTTCAGTCTGGGAAATGTTAATTATAGGCCAATCGTTCTTTCTTATTTATTTTTAAACCACCTAAATGTTCTCCTTCAGCCTACCTCATCCATCCTTAGGGTCATGCCAGGAAAGATTTACCTTCTGGTGAAAGTTGACCCCTTAGTCATACAAGTCAGTATTTTTTAGCACTGGCAAGACTTGCAATGTCTTCTGAAGCCAAAGGGTCAAAATCCTTGTGCAATGCAGTGTTGTGCAAACATGGTGACTAATGACACCATAAGATTTGCAAATTTGCCCGAATGGTCCTGTAAAATGACATTGTGATCCTGAGATGCCTAAAATACAGAAATAGAAATATATTGTCAGGTAGCAGTTACTGTTGTTTTCCCACAGTAACAGTTTTCTTGTGACTTAAGTAGAATTTATAGAGTTTATACAGTTCATACTGCTAGGCTGAAATCCCTTATCACTGGTGAATGGAGAAGTAATGGCCTGGACCAGTGTTTGCTGACATCAAATGAAAAATCAAATGACTGACTTGAGCAGATGTCATCTCTGATGTTAATCCCAAGCAGGAAAGAGCTCAGTGCTCAGAGAGGTCCTGACAGCTCTGGAGCCCTCCCTGCTGTCAGTGTGGGACGTGCCTCTCACCAAGCAGCATCCTGAGGGTGAGCAGTGTCCCTGCTGCCAGGCCAGGGCTGCAGCCTGGGCCCTTCTGTGGTGGGGATGTGGAGCTGCAGGAAGCCTCAGACTGCTCCAAAGCTCCTCGTGTCTTCCCAGAATACATTCACAGCACGGGCTGCAGACAAACAAGAGAGCACCACAGGGACCTTTCACAGAGTTTCTCAACATTTTGTATTACTTAGAAAATTTTTTGATTTTTTTCTCATACAATAATTTCATTTAGAAAGTATCTTCCAAGATCATCAAGTCCAACTCTTAACTGAGCACTACCAAGCCCACCACTGACTGCCCAATTTGGTGTCACCTATTAACTGACCTGTATCCTTAGGGATTCCAAATAAAGCAACTGGACACAATTGCACAGTGAGAACATTTCTTAAATGCCCTGCACTTCAAGGGAACCTTCAGCTCTCCTGTGTAGCCCACATATGTATGGTTGCATCTCTTCTATTTGTTTTACAAATAGAGTATAGACAAAATTATACAGCTCACTCAGGAGTTATACATTCCTCATTCAGGAATTTAGGTTTCCTAAATTAATGACTGTGTCTGCCTTTATATTTTTGTCAGGCTAAGGCCTTGCAATGCTGAGCAGCAGGACTCTGCTGCATCTCTCATTCATTACACTTCAGCAGCCTCTGCCACATCTCTTTAAGGAGAGTGGATTGGAAATTGGAAGAAAGGTTGATCTGGCCCACTGGTCAGACACATAAACAACAAAAAAGTAACTTCAAGGGCTTTTTCAACATAAATATTTTGCAGTCAAGTGACCGTTGTTATTCAGGTGTACACGTGTGCTCATTCTGGCAGAGAGAGAAAAGATTAAAACTCTTGGCTTAAAACCATTCTAGAAGTTTATGCAGCATTTATATAAGGAAATGGAATCACTGTCTTTACAGTCTTTATGATTTTTTCTGCTATAAGCCTGCAGCCAGTGTGAAGCATGAGCTGGCATTTACTCACTTTTATTCAAAAAACCCCAACACAGTACATAAAAGTCGAGTTTGTATCCTCTATTTCTACTCTAATTTTAAGGAAATCAAAATTCTTTGGAACAGTGGTCAGCAGGGAGCCCTAGAATTTATCCTCTGAGAATTGCTATGGACCCTTCAGTTTTTACAGGACAGTAGTGACACTGATCCATAACTGTACTTGGAAAGCAACTTTTAGTGAAAGGCTGTAGAATGTGGGGAGAGTTTGATCTATCAGCCCATGTTCTGAGACTAGCAGTAGTTCATTTGTCAAGGTGGAAGATTGTTAGAAGCATGGCTGCAGGAAACAAAGCTCTTCTGTTTGCTCCCTCACTCCTGTGAACGAGCACCCTTATTTATGAACTGTATTGCATTTACTCAGGGGGCTGTGGGCCTTTACTGTTTCAGGTGTTACAGATCTCCTTCCTTTTCTCCCCACTGCTGAGAAGGAGCACAACCACACAATAGCTCCAGTCAGTCATGTAACTGAGAAGTTGAGCTTCATTTCTGGATAGGATAGGAACTAGCAGGTTGAAGTCAATGGAAGGTATTTATTCTACAGATAGCATCAGCAAGGCTGTTACTGATTGTGCTGCCCAGTTTTGGCATTCCCTTTTCAAACAGAATTTTGAATAACTGGAAATTGCTCCTAAAAGTTATAAACATGATTTGGAGAACCCTCCTTAATGTAAGTGTTATGTTTATTTTGGTTAAGGCGCACATGATGATAGCCTAGCAACATATCACCAAGAAAATGATGAAGGAGACTGTACACTTTAATTTCACCCCAGGGGGCTTAAGAGACTTCAGCAACTGAGAGCTGACTGCAAATTCAGCCTCCTAGTGTCAAAGTGCTGCAAATTGCATGGAAACTTTGTAGGTTCTTTTCCTTTTAGCCTTCTGGCAGCTGAGGGCTTGATGCAGAAATGGTTGAGTGAATTTCCTTGGGCTGCAACCTGCAGGAAGCCCGGTGAGATTGTGGGTGCCTTCAGATTTCAAATGTAGAGGTAAAGTACCCTAGAGATATGGAGAAGTTTGAGAAAGGAGTTTGTTTTGTGAGGATGAGTGTTTGGGCTATTTTTGAGATTTCTAGGGCTAAAGCGATGCCTAGGGCTGTTACAACTAGGGCAGTTATTTTAATGGAGAGAGGTATGGTTGTTGGACAGGTTTTTGTGGGGATGATAAATGAGGTGATGAGGAATCCTGCTAGGATGCCTCCTAGTGCAAGGCAAGTGCATTGTCATTTTTTGGACCATGTAGGTCATTGCAGTAGAGCGTGGGGCAAGTTACAATCACTGCACCCCAAACTCCTGTCAGCACCTTCTGGTGCAGCAGTGAGGGGCTGCATTTATCCACACCTGTAAACACAACCTGCACTACACCTGTAAACACAACCTGCACCTACACCTGTAAACACAGCCTGCACCTACACCTACACCTGTAAACACAACCTGCACTACACCTGTAAACACAACCTGCACCTACACCTGTAAACACAGCCTGCACCTACACCTGTAAACACAACCTGCACTACACCTGTAAACACAGCCTGCACCTACACCTGTAAACACAGCCTGCGCTACACCTGTAAACACAGCCTGCACCTACACCTGTAAACACAACCTGCACCTACACCTGTAAACACAACCTACACTACACCTGTAAACACAACCTGCACCTACACCTGTAAACACAGCCTGCACCTACACCTGTAAACACAACCTGCACCTACACCTGTAAAACACAAGCACAGTGCCTCCAGTGCAGACACTGTGGAGCTGGCCATGTGACCCATGCTTTGTCCCATAGACAAAATGCTGATTCTCACGTCTCATTGTGGGTGATTTGGGATTAAAGACGCACAGAAAACGATGGGTTAGATCTGGAATCAATTTTCATTTACAGCTGAGAAGCAGTTATTGATGCTGCGCTCACAGTTCAATAAAAGATCTAAAGATATAGACCTTGTGTTTCTCTTTCAATATAAGCAGCATAATCAGTGTCAAATGTTTTTACAAAGAAAATTGTATTGACAGTTTTATTAAAATTGCTGTCTTTAAAGTTTTAAGTTATCCACAATTTGACCTACTTGAATGGTTTTTTAATATGTACACTGACCAACCCAATAGATTTTTATGTCACATATTTATAATATCAGGTACACATCTCTTTAAATGTATTATTTGAGAGGTACTGTAACATGTAAGCATTGCTTGGATTGTGAACCCATTGGTGTTGTCAATTGGCACATGCATCAGTATTGCATTCAGTGTGGCACAGGATGTTCAGACTGGCTGCAGGAGGTACAATCAAAGCAGATGACAGACATGCTATTAGTAAACCAGGAGATGACAAGGCATTTCAGAGATGCTAATGTTAACGCTCTTCTCTGAGAAAGGACCCACCTTTTTTGATGGCTTTATTACTCTGTTAAAAAAGTACATCAGAAATTAGGAAGAGTAGTGAAGATTTTTAATTAGTAGCTCAGTTCAGC